TAGTTTTTGTAAGATAAATTACACTATAATATAATCTTTTATTAATGTCAAGTGTACAAGAAAAATTATGTGGTGTCATCTAAGTAATGCTAAGATAGATTTTCTTTAGTTAAATTTGACTAAAAAGTGATGGATTGTGTATGATTTTAAAGATCATTCTGAGTGAAAAAGAAATTTCTGAAGTGAGTAAACTGATAAATATTAATAAATACTAAATTAATTATTAAATTTAACCAAATTAAAATTCTTAATAAATACTTAGATTTCATATTTTTCCCAAAGTAAAATAATGAGAATATAAAATTCAACAAAACTATTTGTTTGAAACTAATAGTTAGATTTGAAAAAAAAAAAGCAATTAATGTTTTTATTTAATTTATAATAAAAATATCAAAATTAATAATTATTATTATTTATCATTAAATTTGATAAAATTATTAATTTAGCTATTATATTAAACACTTCATAAAATTGTAAAAAAAAAAAAAAAAGCAAAAAAAAGGAACCAAAAATAAAGCTGACAAATTTACCAACTCCCCAGCCTTCAAAATTTCAGTCTTTTGACTCATCTCTTTGAGTAGCTGCTCAGCTACACCCCTCCTTTCACAGCACACAAGAAAAGCAGAAAAAGAAAATTTAAACCTTCAGACCTACCTATGCCCACTTTTGACCCACCATTTTCTTTCACATGTAGAAACCCATCTTGCATGAAAAAAAAAAATCTCATTTTTACATTATTTTCCCAATTACAGTACAGTATAAATAATTATAAAAATAGAATAAAAAGGAGAAGTTCTACAGTACTTGACAGCATTTTTCGTTTTTTCTTGCTTTGTTGGTTTCTGGAGTATTTATATAATAATAATCCTTGCCGCTTTCCTTGGTAAACTTCACTTCAACATGCTTTGTCCTGTTTGCTTCCTCCTCAGAGATTTGTACAAATAATTCTTTATAACTATAAATTACTCCATAATCTCTCTAATGTAGTACTGTTCTCTACTGGGTCTATACATTGTGGTCCTATCTCTCTTACAAGGTTTGTCATTTTCTCAAACCAAGCTGCAGATACACCCCCAATGGAGGAACAGCTGCAGCAACTTCCTCTGCTTCTTCTACTCCTCCTCCTCATCCTTCTTCCTGTACTGCAGCTCTGTCGTTTATTGGTTCCTTTGCAAATGTCAAATCCTGAGTTCTTCTCCTTGTGATCTTTTAGAATCTGTGCATATCTTAAATTCAGGTACATTTTTTTCTTCCTTTTCTTTTCTCTTTCTTGAATCTGTTAGATTTCCTTCTTTTTTTCCCCCTTTCTTACCTCATTGCATCATCCCCAGAAGCTGCATTGCTTGCCTTTGAAGCTCTTTGACTTCTTGATTCCTGATTCTGCTAGTTTATGTGGGGAAAATGGCATTTGAAAGATTGTTTTTTTGTGATGCGTTATGTGCAATGTTTCCATCTTTATTTTTTGTTTTAATTTTGGGGCTTTTGATAGATTTATGTTGTTGCTTTTAAGCGGAGAGAGAGCTTAGTTTTCTTTGTGCATTATCTCTGTCTGAAGTTGTCTATAGTTTTTGATTTGGAATTCTTGGGTCTTTTATTTTCAAATAAATGTTGCTTTTAAGCTGGAAAATCCGGTTTTGTAACTGTTATGCTTCTGCATTTACAAATTTATCAGCACTCAAGATTGAAAAGGGTTTGATGGGTTTTAGAAAACTAAAGCTTCTAAAATGTGGGGTGAAAGCTTTTTCCTTTTCTAGATTTTATTCCTCTGGTATCTTGTTGGGGTTAAATTGATCTCTCAATTTTGCCTCTGGGAAATTTACTTATATCCCCAAATCTTTCTTACTTTCTGTTATTTTATGTCCTTGAATTGCCCATTCTTGTGGTAGGTGCACACCAGCTTCTGGGTCCATCATCTATTGCATAGTAGATTTCTTTTTTTGTTAAATCATTCAATGTGGTATAATAAAGTTAGGTTTTTTCAGTGGATATATGGGTTCTCAGATTTAATTCAATGCGTAATTTCAAGTTTGAGAAAATTTTTTGTTTCAAACCTTCAATAGATGAAGTTTTTCTCTTTTGCTGCAGAATTCCACACCCCCCCCCCCCCTTTTTTTTTTTTTTGGGCTTTTAAGGGTCTCTCAGCTCAGGTTAAGGTTTTATCTTTGTTTCATTTTTAACTTTGTGCTTGTAAGAAAGTGAACTTCTTGAGTAAATTTACAAGGAACTTTCCCCTGTTGTTATGTTACTGCATTCCTTCTCATCTCTTAAAGCAGTTCTTATGTCATATATTTTTGCATATTGGTTTCTTTATTCTCTATAGAACTAAAATCTTTACTCCAAATCCAGAGAAGGAAGTTAAACGCACCTCTAAAATGGAGCAGTATGAAATCCTTGAGCAGATTGGGAAGGGAGCTTTTGGTTCAGCTCTTCTCGTGAGGCATAAGCATGAAAAGAAGAAGTAAGAATGATACCAACAGAATGTGCTTTCTTGTATGTTTTGTAACATTGTCGGTAGAATATGCAATAAGCAAAGTTAGATATATGAGTTGTGAAAGTTCATGTTTTGGCAATTAGTTTGACAACATTTTCTGTTTGCTTGTTTTTTTGTGAAGGTATGTTTTGAAAAAAATTCGTCTTGCCCGCCAAACTGATAGGTCTCGTAGATCTGCACATCAGGAGGTTAGTATAATGTATTATGTTTAGACTTGTTCACTTTGGCACTCTTTTCCTTTTATACATAATCTTCTACCACACTGGAATACTGCTAGAGCTCTAACCTGGTGGAAAAGGGAAAAGGGAAAAGGGAAAAGGGAAAAGGAATAAATCATCACAAGGTAAAAATTTATAATGTCTGAACAGAATCCTTAACCTCAAACTGTTTCATGTAGATGGAGCTTATTTCTAAAATGCGAAATCCATTTATTGTGGAGTACAAGGATTCTTGGGTAGAAAAGGTATGTTGTGTAAATAGAAACATTCTCCAACCCAAAGTTCTCTTCAGCTTCTTTTTAAGTCTGAACTGCTGATAGAATTTAGGGCCTTTATTTCTTTCCTTTTCTCTCTTTCCTCAGGGTGTGAAGTTGCCTTTTCTTCCCCCTATTTGACTGTCACTCATTAAATCATGTGGATTGAATCATAAATTCACAATGCACTTAATTATAGACTTCCTCTCTGCAATATGCCTTCCTATGACATACGCAATAGCCTAACAGTTGTCATCTTATGGATTTGATTTCAGGGTTGCTATGTATGCATTGTTATAGGTTACTGTGAAGGAGGAGACATGTAAGCTTTTAGTTCTTGTTCAGTGGATTGAAAATTCTTCTTCTATGACTTGACTCCATGAAATAAATACTTCAGTAACTTATTTTATGTTTTTCTTGTAAAATATGAAACAGGGCTGAAGCTATCAAGAAAGCAAATGGCATGCTTTTTCCTGAAGAGGTTTTGTTTACAATTTTTTTTCCTTTCCCTTTTTTTTTTTTTTGGGTTTTTAAATATCTTTGGTACACTTCTTCATTCCCTTTTGAAGTGAAATTGGTTGTAATATTGCATTCTTATACAATATTTGTTTAACGAATTAAGCATTAGCCATTCTGGAAAATCATTTCATCTAAGTTTGTATATTGAATTATTTTCAGAAGCTTTGCAAGTGGCTCGTACAACTCCTCATGGCACTTGACTATTTGCACATGAGTCACATTCTTCATCGTGATGTCAAGGTTAGTACCATGCTTTTATAAACTTGATGAAGGTATTTGTCTCCTTGAAGAATATCTGATGTTGCATTGTACTGATGATATTTCATGTTTTCTATAGTGTTCAAATATATTCTTGACAAAAGATCAAGACATCCGTCTTGGTGAGTGGTTTCACACTCTTACAAAGTAGAATTGCTTAGAAGAGGATTGTCATTGTTTTACTGAGCAAAACGTGTTTGACCTTATTGCAGGTGATTTTGGACTTGCCAAAATTTTGACTTCTGATGACCTTGCATCCTCTGTGAGTATATTGTTGTTCTCAATCTAATATGTTTTCTTTTAATGATTGAAATTGGGGAGAATAACCATGTTGTTATTCAGGTTGTTGGAACTCCCAGCTATATGTGTCCTGAGCTGCTTGCTGACATACCTTATGGCTCTAAGTCAGATATTTGGTCTTTGGGTACTCTCTCTCCCCTCTGTGTTGTCATAGGCACGCTGATATATTGTGTGGCTTTTTAAGATTTAAAGTTCTCTGTTTGTACATGAATTTATGTGGCCTGAAAATTTGATGTCCAGGATGTTGTATATATGAAATGACTTCTCTCAAGCCTGCATTTAAAGCATTTGTAAGTTCTTGGCACTATCTCTCTACTTCCAGAAAATTTTCAGCCTTTTTCACCTGAAGAAACATGCTCTTTTGCTATTTTTCAATTTGTTTGTTCTCTACTAGAAGCTCCTATCTCCTGACTGCAGGACATGCAAGCACTGATAAACAAAATCAATAAATCAATAGTTGCTCCACTTCCAACAAAATACTCTGGTGCCTTGTAAGCCTTATTTTCCTCCTATGGAATAATGATTCTCTATATTTATTCTTTTTGCAGTGTGAACTATCCTGAACTGATACATTGAATTCTCTATAATAGTTTAAAAACTTATTCACTTAACATTGGTGGACAGAAACTAGGATAATTTAACAGTTTATCACAAACTTTAGTTGTGTATAATATATGTTTGAGTTCAAAATGACAAGTGCTTCAGTCTAATTATTTCTTAATTTTTCATTTTTCAGTCGAAGTCTTGTTAAAAGCATGCTGCGGAAGAATCCTGAGCTTCGGCCAAGTGTATGTATAACCCTCCTTTAATCTGTCTTTCACAGTGTAAAAAGCTTTTTCATGATTGTACCTGTAAGCCAAAATGAAAGTTGACTAAATAATTTTTACTTTAAACAATTAATGGATTGATCACTTCAGTTTGGATGCAATTTTTGTGTGCATTTGTTAAATGCATTCCTCTCACTGGATGAATGTCTATTGTTGGCAGGCAAATGAACTGCTCCGCCATTCACATCTCCAGCCTTACATGCTTAAAGTTCAACTTAAGATCAATAATCCAAGACGAAATACTTTACCATTTCGCTGGCCTGACACTGATAATATAAAGAAAACTAGATTCTCAGAACCAGTAGAAATCAATTTCTCTACTTACAAGGATAAGCGTCGATCGTCTACCAATGACAGAACTTTGAACCCGAGTATATCTGGAGCTGAGCAAGACTCTTTTAGTTCTACCGGAGGAATTCACAATGGTTTGCGAGGTTATCTGACTCCAAGACTAGAAGATTTATCCATTGAGAGCAGCAATGAAGGAACTGTCATTTGCAAGCCAATTTCTTCAAAGACTTTTAGCATTGCCAAGACTAAGAGACACTCTCTACCAAAAGCTTCTGCAGCTCCCAGGAGGCAGATGGAGCCCTTGAGAAAACATGGAACGGTAAATCATAAAATACCTTGCCATTGCTTTCTGATGATCACATTTCCCCCTTTCAAAATTGGACTTTTTACAACTTGTTTCCCTTTGTTTTCAGCTTCCTGTTTTGCACACTGCAACAAAAAATTCTCTTCCCACAAGTCGGAGAGCATCTTTGCCCCTACCAACAAAAGCTGGAGTTCGAGAACCCGTGACTAGGTCTAATGCTGGTATCCTTCACGGTATACAATCTCCAGATATTTCTGTCAACGCTCCTAGGATTGACAAAATAGCAGAATTCCCATTAGCTTCATATGAGGAATCGTTTTTCCCCATTCCCATACGTAGAGCTTCATCAATCTCAGGACAAGGCTCCTCTGGTACACTGCAGTTTGTGGACAGATCAATCACAAAGGACAAATGTACAGTTGAAAAACATGAACAAGCTTCTGCCAAGCTCAGCTTTGCTGATGCATGGCAGGGAATTGACCGCAGCATGTTCCTGGAGGCAGATGGAGGGGACGGAAGCGAAACCTCTGATCAAAATGCTACTGCCGGGGCATCATCCCGCACATCCTCAGACACAAGAAGGCGCAGGTTCGATACCTCATCGTACCAGCAGCGTGCAGAGGCCCTGGAAGGTTTGCTTGAATTCAGTGCAAGGTTGCTGCAGCAAGAAAGGTATGACGAGCTTAATGTGCTACTAAAGCCATTTGGCCCTGGAAAGGTCTCTCCCAGGGAAACTGCAATATGGTTAACCAAGAGCTTCAAGGAGAACACTGTGAAGCAAGAAGATTAATACTGAAGAACACCTGCTATGTGTACCATATTTGTAGCCATAAACAAGATTTTAGAACTCAGGCACATCGGGTTTTAGTCAATGATTCTTGAAGAGACTAGGCACCTAGGCAATCAAGGCAAATGCTGATTCTTAGTTTCTAGTTTAATTTTCATCAACCCTTTAACATTCCCACTATGTATCAATAGTACTGACTTTCTTCCTAGTGGATGATAATGATGATGTTTACTTTACTACTTAAAATAGATGGAACAATCTTTTATTGCAGTTGACTTGTGTGAAACAAAACAGCATCTTTCCAGCCTTTATCCCGGAGTAGGTTTTATATATCGGCCAAGACATCCCCCATTTGCTGTACTGCGGGATTGCCATGGCTATATTTATTTTAATCTAGGTGTGAATTATAAAATTACCTTTTCCTTTTTTTTAATGAATGAATAGATGGTCTTTCAATATAATAAAAATTAATTTCTCAGAGAAAGCCAATGAATTGAGCATAATTTTCTTTAGGTGAAAATAAGATTTCTTAAATTTAAATCACATAGCATACAAATAAAGTGAGTTAAAAAAATATTATTTATTATGATACAACTTAACATAAAAGAAAATATATTCTTACAGAAAATTTTGAATTTTAAATTATAATATTAAGAAAAAATATTGTAAAGTCTAAATTATATTTGATTACATAACACTAATTATTATATGACAATTAGACCTTATAATATCAGAGACCTTTTTTTATCCAAAGATTCTCATTTTACAATTTAGATCACATTCGATTATAAAAATAGGGTTAATAACATTAATAGTAGTTGCTAACTATAAAATACGTAATTCTAGGCGCTTTGTCACTATCCGGAATGCATCGGTCCATTCCATTGGGAATCTTTGCCAGTAGTCTTGGAGAGAGCAGCAATTGGCAAATGGCATATGGCTTATCAAGGGGTAGCTTTTGCAGGCCTAACCCAATATTTAAATGATAGAAAACTCATCCATTTATGATTCTAAATTCCTAGTCAACTAGATCATCAAAGTGAATTTGCATAAATAAGGAGTGAGAAAACTGAAAACAAGCCAAATTCCTGCAGTCTAGACCATGGGAAAGGCAAGCAGATGGATGATAAACTTCCTGCTAGGAAGAAAGCAGAAAGAAAGGAAGAAAGAAACTGCTTCTCTTTCTTTTCCTGAAGAAAAAGCTGCAATTTTCTCAGCATCTACTTTCAATAAAAGATGGAGCTTTGGAAAAAAATCAGCAAGCAAGGAGATTACTGCTCACAGAAGTTCCAGGTCTCTTGATTCAATCACTGCTGCCTCACTTGTTGCAGCAGCAACTCAGGCAACTAAAACAAGAGTTCCTATAGATACCAGAAGCAGAGCAAATGAAGATGCAGCTGCTACCAGGATTCAGGCTGCCTTCCGTTCTTATCTGGTACTGGATAATCTTTATTTTTTTTGCTTGAACATCGTTTCCATGGCAAATTATGTCTCAGATACCGATATTTCAGCGTTGATGGTGTGAGCTGTCTTGCACTGCAGGCAAGAAGAGCGTTGTGTGCTTTAAGAGCACTGGTTAAGTTGCAAGCACTAGTTAGGGGTCACCTGGTGAGGAAACAGATGGAAGCAACTGTGCGGGGAATGCATGCGCTGATGACAATACAGGTTCGAGCTCGGTTTCAGAGAATCCAGACTGCTGAGGAACCTAAAAGTCAATCATCCAGATACAGAAGTATTTCCCTGGAGAAAGAGTTCCCAAGAGCTCATAGGGTAAGTCTTACTTTATACCCAGAAACAGCATTATTTCCTTCTTCGTTTATTGAAGAAGCTGATAATCTATAATCTGGTTTCACAGGAAGCTATACCAATCGTAAACAAATATGGTTATACCAATCATAAACAAAAGGAGAGGATCAAGCACAGATTGACAACATACCAATACCATTCAGGGGATCTTTCAGTGTCAAAACGGAAGCATCAACACGAGGAATTCTCTGCCACAGCACTCAGCAGTCCTCTGTTTTCTCTAGCAGGATCGTGGGCAACTTCTGGTGGAGCTTGCTTCAATTGCCAGCATCAAGACCATCCATACCTCCCAAATTACATGATCAACACACAGTCTTCCAAAGCCAAGGTCAGGTCACAGAGTGAACCAAAGCAGCGGCCTAAGCAGAGCATGCAGGGGGTGGGGAAGGCGAAGAAGAAGGGGAAGGAAAAGAGAACTGCTGAAGAAATGAATGTTGTTCAACAAGTGTCACCTGCTGCAAGCTCAAAACAACTCACAATTGAAAGCCAGGATCTCTGGTTTGTCAAGCTCTACTGATCAGGAGAATGATCTCTAGTCTGGTTACTCCAGCAAAATCTGTAAACTACTTCCAACAATGTTCTCTAACCTTTTGATTCACATGAATGCAGACATATGAAACTGAGTACTGAAGAAATTCAAGGGGAAAACTAATGTAGAAGATGATAGATTCTTTCTTTGTTAGGAAAGGAAAAAAAAGGGATATGATGCTTTAGATGAAAAAGTCAATAAAAAGGAGTAATCGTTCCTCAGTTTTAAACTCCATTTCAATTGCATGGAAGACTTCCAGAATAGAATGCCACAAAACTTGGAGAATTGTTCTTTCAGCATTTGATTCTTCTACTTTTAAAAATAGAATACTGATTCTACATTGTAAACTAAGACTGATTATATAATAAATAAGTTGATTTTGAAATGAAATAGTTAGAGATGGCAATATAATTATTAATGGAAGAAATTGTATGCCAGTACTGATACATGAGAAGACTGATTCTCGTACATCTTCATTTTCTTTTCCGGACTGAAGGGGGAAAGCTATTCCAGGGGAAAAGATACTGTCAATTACATCCTCCAAAATTTAGAGACTACTTCATTCTTTCACCTGCATGTATATGGAACCCATAAATAAACTGGAGAAGAAGAGCATATGCATGGTGATAAAGCCTATAATGTGATTTACAATAAGATGCACAGACCTAACAGTTCATGCAAGTCATTTAAAACATACGACAAATCCTATCTAAAAGACTCCTAAATTTTTTTTAAAAACAAATATTAGGAGATGCATGTTCTTGTTCTAATTTTTCATTTAAGGATATGCACGATCTCACTATATGGAAAACATGCATGAAAATACTGATCCCAACATTGGACAAAATACCCCCTCCCCAAAGAAAAAAAAAAAAAAAAAAACTTTTCTCACCCTCCTATGGTAGCAGGAAAGGAGGGAAAGTCAGTCTCATGTTTTCATATGGATAGAATGTACAGACAAACAAGGCAAAATTATTTGTAGAAGACTGAACCTTGATTTTCCATTCTTCATTCTCAACCCATGAAGCTTTTCCTGACTAATCTGGATGTTGTATACCTCTCAGAAGCAATTTGTTACTGGTTTAATGTCTTGTGGAAAGCTACCTGGAAATGCAGCAAACTGCAAGTTAGTGGATGTTGACTATACATATACTCACCAATTAAATTCAAGAAAACTTTCAATGCTTAAATGTTGCATATAGCTACTTTTACAGGGAATAACCAACCAGCCCAGATGCAGTCTTGTCATGCTCCAACCTAAATTGCAGGATCAGTTCTAGGATTTGAGCTCTCAAAACCTAGTGTTTATATAGGTTGAGCAAGGGTCCCCAAAAGCCCAGTGAAGGAATGACAATGGTTAATTACCCTTACCCATACCCATTGGGTAAATTTTTATGTTTATCCAACCACCTTTTTTGGGTAAATATTTATGTTACCTACCCTTAACCCTTGGGCAATGGGCAATTTACAGGGTAAATGGGTAATTTTTTATCCATTACATTATATTTTTTTTAACTTAAATTTATACTTGTGAAATCAAAAATAAAAAATTTCAAAGTAATACTATAAAATAATTCAATTATAAGAAATCTAACAAATTTAAATGAAAACTGCAAAAATGAAAATTTAAATAATAGGTGACCAAAATAATCCATAATAAAAAGAACTCCAACAAAAAATTCAACTCAAGAAGATATTTTTTTCTCTAAGGAAAAGTCTGACTCAAGTTAATCTTCCATTTAGTTATTCAATTAAGTAAAAGAGATTGGGTTAGTTAAATAAAAAGGCTCCATCCCATTTTCTTTCAGGATTTGGTGAGTGCCTATTTTTATGTCTTATACAAGTGAGAATGTATTGATTAAGAAACTGTTTGGTATAGCAGTTTGAAAGTAGAGGGTAGCAGTTTCATCTAATCCAATGAAGAAGAGTGTTCAAATTACTAATAATAACAATTATTAACTTTCACATTAGTGAAAACCACTAACTGCTAGTTTCAAACGCTATACCAAACAACCCCTAAATTTGTCTTAGGTGTACAAGGGTTTCTTTAAAAAGTCCATAACATCCCTAGTATAAATTGAAAATCAGATGATGGTAATTGGGAAATACTGGAATAAATCTCATAACAAGAATGGTAGAGGTGAGGGGAGAAATATTATACGAGTAAAGAAAAGAAAACTTAAGAGTAAGAAGTGCCTCAGTTCTTAGATTATAAAAGAATTAACTCAAAAAGATTTAAGATAAAGTAAAAAAACTTAAGGAATTTAAATTTAAATTTTAAAGTAATTTATCTATAAAAAGATACTGTTGAGTGATTATCATTTTTAAGAAATTAAATTACAATTTAAAAATATAAATTTAAGTTAGCATCTAATTATAATTAAGGAATACAAGATTTAGAATCTTAAATTGAAATCAGAGAATTGAAGAATTTAAGTATTATTTATTAATTTAAATTTTTAAAAATTAATATTCTAATATATTATCAACTAATTGGGAAATGGCCTAGACAAGTGTTTTACCCTTACCCAAAAATTATTGGGTAAAATTTTTTTATTTACCCAGCCATGGGTAGAAATCTCTTAGTCATACCTGGCTGATAACAGGTAAAAAATGCAGGTACCTGTCAGGTATGAGCAAAATTGCCATCCCTAATCCAGTGCCTTAGATTTTATAAAAAACCTATTCCATTACAGAACTAATCTATGAAGACGGAGATTTGGAAGACATAATAGCTAATATCACCTTATTCCCACATTTTAAAAGAAAATAAGGAACCTTATTCCCTCCTACTTCCTACTTTGACATACTCTTCCTCTATTTGGTGTTTTTTCCATTGAATAATAATGCAATAGCCATTCCATTGAACCAAACAAGAGCTAGACAAGACTTGGATACAAATAACATTTCTCAATTTTAAGACTTCTACAGTTATAAAGAGAAACAAAATAAAACCTTGGTTCAAGTTCAATTTAGGTGCATACCGATGTTGATGTCTTTAACAGCTCTCTTATTGCCATCGTGGCATAACATGAAGATGGAAGAGTAAAGCCCAACTTCAGAGCCATCTGAGTAGAGTCAGGCAACGTTTGATTTTCTGGCTGTTCAACTTGATTCTCATCCTTAACATCAATATTCACAGTTGAAGAACTCAGATCATCTTCAATGCTCTCTGATTGTTTGATACCATCAAACAGAGCTTTGTCCTCACTTCCAGTGGTTGGTTTGTCTTCAACCATATTCACTCGTCTAGTCTTGGCAATTTTGTCCAGATCTGTCTCTGCCAATGCTATATTTCCATCAGTATATGTGAGTAATTCCCTACAAAAACATAAAATAGAATTGCTTAAATCACATGATGTCTGAGAGATAAAAATAAATAAAACAAATAAAATAATGATAAAAAAGAAGACATACCATTCAAAGTCAATTGGCTTCTGAAAAACACGCCTATAGCTTCCAGTTACGCTAGTTATTGAAAATTCCCTAAATGAAATACATTCGTATATAACTCTAGTTAGAAGACACAAATCATGGTAAAAGAAATAGATAATGGGAGTAAGGTGAAAGGTTTTCCAATCAAAATTTGAGGATGGTTTTTGATCATGTACTTGACATTATGAACACTCTCCTTCAAATCAATATTGCCCTGATCAATAAAGATGAAGCAAATATTAGAAGAACGGTAGGTGGGATAAAAACTGATAAATGAAATTTTAGCATCCTACAGTCATCATGCTTTACTACTTTCTTGAAACATTTTATTTAATCAATTCCTCGTAATTCCTTGCCTAATAATTCCCTCATCATGTCTTAATAGCCAAGGCTATCAGCAGACACATACTGCATTTTCATGATCCATTAAGCCTGAAATTTCCAATGTATAACCATCCTGCTTTGAATATGAGAATTTCAAGAGAAGTAACAATCCATCTTATATACTAATTGCAACCTAAAATTTTCTGAACTCATCCACATACAGATGCATGCATAGACATTTATGGATACACAACTAAGAGAGCAAATATCAAATGTGCATTGCAAACACTAAGTATAATAAGTAAGATAGCAACCTTCTTGGCCATATCATGGTAAACATCAGCAACTTCATTCACAGGATACGTTACTCTTGAACTGCAAAACAAACAGAATAGCATGGTCAAACCAAAAAAAAGGTAATGCTTCACTTCTGAAACAGACCAAGTAATACAAATATACATGAGTCAGATACAACCATGTTGGTATTCCCTTACCCAGGCATAGGAAGGACAACATCCTCAATGGTATAATTTCCAGAATTGATATCTTCGACAGTTACAGCCTGCCAGGTGATAGGAAGCCATCTTAAATTTCTCAATCTATATTAAAAGTATAATGACAACTTTATGGCAAAAATTACACCATCAACTTTTTTCCATGCAAGAACAAAAGGAGCAAACAAGGGATTTTTTATGAGAAACAAATATTTGAGTTTCCCACAGGCCACAGACCTCTCTGACAGTTGTACATTTAGTCTCAGTAATGACACAGCAGCTCCACAGAGAAAAATTATTAACCCAATCATGCATGCTAAGCCAAAAGAAAATCCTATAATGTGTAGACATGTTCAATCACATGCCATTATAAATTGTGCACCAGAAAACAGAAGATCCAATTTAAAAAATTGACCTTAACAAGACTATTTCTCCCCTCAGGAAGATCTGTTCTGGAAATTTCATCCAACTGTCCACAATTATCCATGTCTTCAGAAGTATCGTCCTCATGTTCAGAAGTGATACTTACTGGCACTGTTCCAGCATCATCTCCTTTACAATATACCAGGTCACCCAATACAACTTGATTGGTTCCTGTCAATGGTGAATTAAGAGGACCAGACTGCAAGTCAGTTCCAACTCATTTTAATATAGCACTGCCACAGATTATCATAACAGCTTACATGCACAAAATTAAAAGGATGATGAATAACGATCAGAACATATAACAGCATACCATATTTTTGCACTCTCACACTTGCAGCATGGTTCCACAAATAGCTTTGGTAACTATGTACATACCTGACCAAAAACACCAAAAACTTTTGGAATCTTGATTTGAATCATCTTTGTTCCTCATGAGTGTTGTCAATGTGTGTGTGTGTGTGTGTGTGTGTGTGTGTGTGTGTGTGTGTGTTTCAGTTAGCTGACTTAAGGCTTTGGATGGCTAAACTAACACCATATTAGGATGTCAATGGAATGAGCCAAAACTATGAAGTTTGTGCTCTAGTTGGCTTGAAAAAGAGTTACAGAAATTGAGATCAGCTTGGGCTTGAAATTCAAGCTTGTGCTCTGGTATATTTTATATTAAACTTAAAGCCAACCTGAAATGGTCACCTAAACAGTTCAGCATGGTACAGATGCCAGTTTTCGTATTTTATGTGAAATAATGCATAATGGATTTTAAGCAAGAAAATTGTGATTGAAAATAGATTTCCTGCACAAACTTAAAGATTTCCATGAACCAACACACAGCCAAGATATGGTAATAATGCAAATTTATCAATCGTCTCAAGACAGGACATTCTAGAGTAGGGGGCATGGTTCGATCCCTTACATCATTCTCAAAGTTCTAGGAATAGCTTTGAGGGCTTGTAAGTAGTTCCCAGGGCATTTCTTTAAACACTGCAACTGTGAGATTAAAAAAAAGAAAAAAAGGAAAATTATTCTGAAATGCAGAAAAACCATTGTGCAGAAAAGTAATGACTATAAAGACAGACATAATGACCAAATGACAAGAATGAACCCCAGAAACAGTAAGAGTAATACAGTTGAGACTTACTATAGCCCTTTCAGAAACTAAATGCCGTGGTAGTTGTCTAAGGGTTCCATCAATATCACCAGTTTCTTTATAATACTCCCGTACCTTACTAATCACATTTCTTTGTATTTAAAGATTTAAGTTAAGAATAAATAATCATAATAATAAAAATAGTATATTAGAGCCAAATCCTGCAAACCCTTTAATTAATCAATAATACAAAAACAAAACTCTAAAAAAAGAAAAAATATATATATTAAAGGATATCCCCTTCTCTTGGATCAAGAATCATGTTAATGGCAGCTTTCCACTCCCCTCGCAGTAATATAGCTCCAATAAGATGAGTTGGCACAGAACCACTTCCAAAACGCTGAAAATTTATAAGATTTTGAATAAGTTTATAAAAGCATTTCAGAGAAAGAGAGAAAATATGAGAAAAGAAGGAAGGAAGGACAATCAAAAATGATAATAGTTTGTGAGGCATGCATTTGTGTGACAGAAGGTCCAACAATTGCTTCAATGGAGACTTGATTTTGAATTCAATATACATACAGCAAATAGAAAAGGAGAAATTACAATTTAGCTACTTGTGGTTTTGAATTGGTACATATAAAGATGGTTTAAAAATGTTCATATAACATACTTGTGGTTTGAAGTTAGTGCATTTAAAGACCTTAGGTTCCAAATTGTGCACACAAGCACAGTTTGTACTAGGTGCATATAACCCCAACTGAGGTTACTTGAAATGTCCTAAATACCATTATTTTCTTTTCCTTTTCATTCTTCTAAGTTAGGGGCCTTTAAGACATTTCAAGAAATTTCAAGTGGTGATTTGCACCAAGTACAAACCTCATGTGCTTATGTGCACAATTCGAAACCTTTGGTCTTTATGTGCACATACCCAAACCCACAAGTATGTTATATGCACAATTTTAAACCTCAAATCTTTATATGCACCAACCCAAAACCAAATGTAGCTAAACTGCAATTTCCCCAGTAGAAAATATCAAACCAAGAAAGAGGTAAAAGAAAAGAGTAGCGATCAAAGAAGTACTTGTAAACCAAAGTAATTGATAAACCCATGCTTTCCAAGGGAATCTGCTGATCCTCTGATGGTGTCTTCAGAATCTGAAACAACTCCTCTACAAAGACAAATGGTACTGGCAGTAAACACTATGAAATCTAATGAAAATACCATTTTCTATGCTCAACTGCTATAAAATTGAAATTCATTTACAGGAAAGCAGTCTTACCGTAATGTGATTGTGAAGCGGTTTCCTAGGAGCTGACCAAGTAGAAGACCTTCATTGGCATAGCTGGATGATTACAGAGCTACAACTAAACCATCATAAAATAACTTGACACTTGACAGAAAACCAACTAAAGTCCATTGAATTTACCAGAAGTCTCCCACTTTGATACCAATTAATCTTTCATTCAATGCAGCTAATCTACTTGCATGCTGTTTGAACACAGTCACCTGAATCCCAAAAAGAAATGCTTTAATGAAACAAGACCAATTATGCTGCAAGACAGACCCACCCTGCCACCCCAGACCCATTCATCCACCCATGAAAAAGATGTGTATTATGACATTTTATCATAACAATTTGTTATTTTATGTCTCTTAAATATGAAAACACCAAACAAAAGAAATGCAGGCATAAGCAGCAAAACTGGTGGGCTCAACTTACCCTCTGAGTTGAAACTGACCGCTTATCTTTTGTACCGGCAAAACCAAATGACCTTGGCTGTTGAAGAAGAAGAAGAAATAAGACAAGGTAGCCAAAAATAATCAATATCATTTATCTTAGTTGGCCTCTATCCAAAGAAGAAGAAGAAGAAGAAGAAGAAGAAGAAATAAAACAAGGTAGCCAAAAATAATCAATATCATTTATCTTAGTTGGCTCTATCCAAAGTTCAAATAAAATTTCATTTTTTTCATTCTATTCTATTTCAGTTTCATTTCTAAAGTTTTTTATATGAAAATGCAATTTCATTTGATGATCCTATACAAGAAGAAGATGAAGCTACTGCTCTCCACTGTGACCATTTTTCAGAACAGTTGCAAATATTGCGACAAGAACCACACTGATGAGCAAGGACATACATAATTTTCCTTTCTTTCTGATACCACCACTGAGAGAAAGGATATGCCAAGAGCAGATCATACCTGGATGCCCAGCATTTTTCCAATCAGCCCTAAGGCTTCTTGTGTGTCTTTGTTCTCCTTGTAAAGATGAAACCTGAAATACTCAAATTAAGCACTTTTCAGATTCATTCAAGTATGATAATGACCACTTCAAGCAAAAAATACACACTTGAAGTTGGAAAGCAGAAAGATAGCATGAAACAAAGATGACTAAAATTTAAAATCTTGAAAACCATTGAATCAAGTCATGAGGTATTTTTAAAAAGAGTTCAAGGGTGCAACACTCTCAACTTGAACACACCCCATTAATCCTCAAGCTGATAAAAAAAAAAACAAAAGATGGTTAATCCTTGAACCAAAACAACAGCAAAAGACATCTTGTACAATACCTAAGAAACTTGCCAAGGTGCTCTGGCCAATTACCAAAACCTCTGCTATCATAAGGCTTACTGCCTCTCTCTTTTCGTTTCTTTGAATTTCTTCCATTGTTGTTACTCCCCGAATTTAATCTCACACGAATGCATTTTGATGAAGAATCAGGTCCATCAACAGTGTCAGTGACAAGGAATCTGAAGTTTTCTTTGAAGAAATTATGCATTGCCTGGAAAAGTCAAATAATAATGACGTTAAAAAAAGGGGAAATATGAGCACCAATTCAAAATTCCAATCACCTTTTCAAACTAAACAGAAAGTTTAAGGCCAAAGGAAAGCAGAGGAAAGAGAGAAGGAAATGAATCACATCATGAGGTCAAATTGATCTGCTCAATTCTCAGTAGGAGACTTCAAAAATAAATCCATATTTATTTTTCTTATAATTGAAGAATCATCCTATGCGAATGGCTACCACGCAGCAGAGAGCCTGAGCAAACAACCCTACTGATAGCCCTGTTCTCTAGTTAGAGCACCTCAAGGCTAATCTACACAGAAAGAAATCGGAGAAGAAATCATAAAACATCAACACCAACCGTTCTATGAGATTTATCAGAATCTGGAGACAGAGTGATAGGTGAAATATCATCTCCATGTCCTGAAGTAATTTGATTTAAGAAAGCTTCTAGCTGGTCCGCATTGGTGTCACCAGCAAGGGATCTGAACAATTCAATTTCAGAAGAAAAACTTCTGCTAATTTGATCAGATATCTTTATTTCATCATCCTTAATAACCTGAATGGATAAACATGGTTACACAACTTCATAAGTCTGAAAAGGATTGATTAAGGAAATGAAAGGAATTTTAAATGAAGTCCAAATAAGAGTACCTCAGGAGGAGCATCTAAGGAGGTCAAATGAACAACATTCCCATCAGTATCTACTTCATTGACAATGAAATCAGAGTACCTACACAAATTCAAAGCAGAGTCACAAAACTGAACCAAATTAATCACTCTCAAGCTTCCCAATTCCAAATAACAATGCAGGAGAAAAAAAAAAAAACTTTGCCAAACTCCCACCTCCCACCTCTGACACCCCATCCCCACAAAAGACAAAAATCAAAACTTCCCTCGTTCTACCACGCTTCCCAGGAACCAAACAAACAATCACAGACACATGCACATAGAAATACAAAAATTAAAAAGTGGGTATACAAGCAACGCACATTAGATACATACATACGACACAAATACACAAGTGTACTTTAATTACCTTTGTTTAAGGATGCCGCGAAAACCAGCGAGCTGGGAGATGAAGCAGAGGATACCCACATCAGATTCCGTTATGGTGGTCATTTGGGTCAGAGTTCTGGAGGGTCTGGCACTTGCTCTTGTGTACTTTGACATGCAGTTGCAGCCGAGGTAGTAGGGTTTTAGAGTTGTGACGCCGTAACGCCACATTTCTCTTTGGGGGGTAAGTTGCTTCAATTTGTTTTAATGGTCCAAATATTTCTACTCAGTAATAATTTAATCTTCAGATAATAATTTGTAGCAGTCAAGGCCTCAAACTTAATAATATTTTCGTTTTTTTTTTCATAAGAATTTTTTTCTTTTCCTGGTAAAGCTCAACCTCAATAATTTATGTGATTGCATTTCCTTATTGTGGTTCAATGGTGACCATTGCTGCTCAAAAGAGTAAGGTAAAAGCCTAAAAATAGTCATTTAATTTGATAAGTTGGATGGTTTTGACCTCTCACTTTATAATATAACGGTTTTAGCCCTTAACCTATAAAAATGAAAGAAAATAACCTTTTTTTGTAACTTCCGTCATAGGACTGTTACCGTCCGTCACTTCCGTCCCTTCATTATATTTCCGTTAACTTTCTCAAAGCTTCTCCAAGAAGCCTGTTGCATTTTTTTTGGGAATTCAAACTTTTTTTTTTTTGAGAATTCTAATTTTTTTTTTACCTTTATTTTTAAAGATGGCTGCATAT